GACCGGACCCAAAAAAACAAACAAAAAACAAACAAAAAAACTCCAGCCTGCTATGTTTGGAGTTCAAGCCCCACGACCGGACCCAAAAAAACAAAAAACAAACAAAAAAACTCCAGCCTGCTATTGCTGTGGATGGGGTCACAGACCTGGACATCCCGCTGCAGGCTGTGACAGCCTGGGCAGCCCACGTAGCACTCATGATAACTACATACCAGCGCTAGCACTGGACAGACCAGAGAAGAGAAATAGCATGGGGGTGACTGCCCTGAAAGAGGCCAAGTGGAGGAGACCACCACTACAGACTCCTATCTGTGACCCCACGTTCACACCACGATCCTAACATCCTATTAGAGCATCTTGTTTGAAATACTCCTACTGCATTTCTGCTGAGAGAACAGAATCACGTTAAACATCAGTGATGAGTGGAAGATTTTATCTGTGAGCACTGACAATGACCCTAGGCCATCCATCCCCACACATGCAAGAGTATCAGTGTCACAGCACACTGGTGCCCTCATCTGGTCACAGAGGAACATGCAGCCTTCTCCCTGGACCAATGGGAACCAGAACCAAGCCTGCTATATATCTATATCTGTATCTATATCCATGTATGTTTCTCAAAGGGGCAGCAGGACTATGAGTACAATATTCAGAAACGGGGGGGTTGGGAAGATGGCTCAGAGGTAAAGCGCTTGCCTTGCATGCATGAGGCCCTGGGTTCAATTCCTCAGCACCACATAAACAGTAAAGGCTGGAAGTGGCATTGTGGCAAGTGGTAGAGGGCTAGCCTTCAGCTGAAGAGCTCAAGACAGTGCCCAGGCCTAGAGTTCAAGCCCCCCCCCCCCACAATCACACACAATCACACACACACACACACACACACACTTCAGAAACAGTTTCTGCCACAAAAATGAACTAAGTACCAAGAGATATTTTAAGTAAAAATCATTTCCCTCACCTTGAGCCCTCATATCTCCCGTTCCTCTCATATTCAGTTGGAAGCCTCAACGAATAGAATGTAGAAGCAAAGAGAAGTGAGAAAGAGAAAAGAAATCTTACACACAGGTACACAACTACTCTGATATCAAAACATACAATGAACCAGTATGACCAAGTCCTTTTTTTTTGGGGGGGGGTGGGGGTCAGTCATGGGGCCTGAACTCTGGGCTTGGGTGCTGTCCCTGAGCTCTTCAGTTCAAGGCAAGCACTCTACCACTTGAGCCACAGCGCCACTTTTGGTTTTCTGGTGGTTCACTGGAGATAAGAGTCTCATGGGCTTTCCTGTCCAGGCTGGCTTTGAACTGCAGTCCTCAGATTTCAGCCTCCTGAGTAGCTAGGATGACAGGCTTGAGCCATGGGTGCCCGGCAGACCAAGCACTTTTTGAGCATCCAAAAGAGGTCTTATTAAAACTTCCTGAGAGAACTGTAAAGGGTGACACTGACCAAGGTGCACTCTATACATTGACAGTTGAACTGAAACTGCTTTGTGTTTAAAGATAACCTCTCTTCCTTCTCTCAATGTTACCCAGGCAGTGACTCATTCTCCTTTGTGAGGACACAGGCATGTGTGCCTAGAACGGCTCTATACCTAGTGTGGTGTCAGTGCCAGGGTCCCTGGTGGCTGCTCCGGTCAGGCACGCCATGGCCATGGGCTGGGCACGGGCTGTAAGCATTCTTCACAGTACAGTAAGTTTCCAGAAGGAACAGAGAAAGGAGGCTACCCTAGGTTCAACGTTAACTTTCTGTCCAAGGAAACCTTGCTTTCTGTCAGTGCCAGTCCTGGGGCTTGAGCGCAGGGGCAGGGCCACTGTCCCTCAACTTTTTTGCTCAAGGCACTTGAGCCACAGCTGCATTTCTGGCTTTCCTGCCCAGGCTAGCGGCTTGGAACTGTGTTCCTTAGATCTCAGCCTTCTGAGTAGCTAGGATTACAAGCGTGAGCAACCAATATTTATCTTTGAAGCCAAAATCGGATTAGGAAGATCAACTGAAAAATAATCAAGGGAATTCTTGTCCCACCGTTTCTGACAAAGGGTTCTGTTAACAAGACCCTTGCAGTGATCATCAATTTCATAAGTATAAAAATACTGACCTGGCCTATTGGACACTGACAAGGTACAGGTTTGACACGGTCCTTAAAGGCAGATTTCTGGCTTCATACACATATATTCCAAAAACAGTAAAACTTTTATTCCTTTGACTGTCCATGTCACCGACTGTCATGTATTAGTAAAAACAGTGAAACATATTTTGTTTTTTGTCGGTTGTAGGGCTTGAACTCTGGGCCTGGGTGCTGTCCTCTGAGCTCTTCAGTTCAAGGCTAGTGCTCTACCACTTGAGCCCCAATACTACTTCCGGTTTTCTGATGGTTAACTGGAGATAGAGTCTTGTGGACTTTCCTGCCCGGGCTGGCTTTGAACCATGATCCTCAGATCTCAGTCTCCAGGGATTACAGGCATGAGCCACTACACCTGGTGAAATATGTTTTCTTCAGTGGGTGGTAGGAAGTAGTTTTAGATAGGATACTATTTACTCTTCAACCCTTATAGCTGGAGGTCTGAATTTTATGCTCATCTCCAAAAAGCAGAGTATTAATTTCTGTCATTTTAAAGCCTTTGTGAAGTCAGTCCTAAGATAAAAATGATAAGAAATACTATTCCACACTTACCTTCTGCATGTTTGTAGCTAATCATTAATGGTAGGTTAATGTTACTGAACATCTCATTCCTCAAACAGGAGCATGCTAAGTGTTATTAGTATGAAGACAGAATTATTTGGATGCTAAATAATTCTACCAAAGAAAGAAAATGCACAGAGCATGCAGAGGTTTTTTTTTTTTTTGCATGGGTGCCACAGTTCCTTTAAAATGCCTGACAGAGTTAATCTATTTCTTTCCAGTTTCCTTCTAAAGAAATAAGTATTTAGTTTTCAGCAGAAAGTTTAGTTCTTAAGGAAAAAAAAAGGGCCAGAAAGCCAAACCTGGTGTTAATTGCAGGAGCCATTTGGGAGTGAGGATTTAAATAAGTGTGCATATATAAATCCTACCTTTTGATAAACCTGAATGACATGTTTCTAAAAGAAATTAAGTAAAAAAAAAAGTTAACAAAAAGATTTGCATAAATAGAAAATTTAATCAATTCTTATAGAAAGAAAAAAGTAAAAAACAATCAAATAAGGCTCCTCTTTTGGCCAGTAATAAAAAACAAAAACACTGACATTTGTTGAAATTTAAATTATTACAGATAATGGACAAGATCGTTTATCTAGATTTTTTTTTTTTTTTGGTGGGTTGTGAGGCTTGAACAAGATCTGGGCCTGGGTGCTGTCCCTCAGCTCTTCAGCTCAAGGCTAGCGCTCTACCACTTGAGCCACAGCACCACTTCCGGTTTCCTAGTGGTTTACTGGAGATAGGAGTCTCACGGACTTTTCTGTCCAGGCTGGCTTTGAACTGTGATCCTCAGATCTCAGCCTCCTGAATTAGCTAGGATTATAGACGTGAGCCACCGACACCCACCTCTAAGAATAACTTTAACAGTAACTGTTGATGTTAGTTGTACCTCAATTCATTCAAAGCTTTCAGATGGATAGTTTTAAGATAAAATTCAATGTCTTATGGTAAAGAAGTTAACTGCAACATAATAATAAATGACATTTTCTAATATTCTTCAGAAAATCTTGTTAAAAATCTTGGCATCTACATAGTACGAAAAATAAACTACAAAATATTTAACCAGGGGCTGGAATGGGGTGTAGTGGTAGAGTGCTTGCCTAGCATGAATGAAATCCTGGGTTTGATTCCTCAATACAACCACATACACAGAAAAAGCCAGAAGTGGCACTGTGGCTGAAGTGGTAGAGTGCTAGCCTTTAGCAAAGCACAGTGCCCAGGCTCTGAGTTCAAGCCCCAGAATTGGCAAAAAAAAAAAAAAAAGACAGATGTTAGTTTGTAAACTTTCACAAAACTGGTTAAATATCTAAGGATATAAAGGACTGGACATAGCTGGGTACTGGTGGTACACACTGGACATAGCTGGGTACTGGTGGTACACACCTGTAACCCTAGCTACTCAGGAGGCTGAGATCTGAGGACTGCAGTACAAAGCCAGACAAGGCAGGAAAGTCCTTGAGACTCTTATCTCCAATAAATCACCAGAACCGGAAATGGAGTTGTGGCTCAGCCTTGAGCTGAGAGACAGCGCCCAGGCCCAGAGTTCAAGCCCACGACCAAAAAAAAAAAGACAGGACTGGACATGGCATATATGCTTGTAATCCTAGCACATTTGGGAGGCTAAAGCAGGAGGATGGTGAATTCAAGGCCACCTATATAATGAGATCCTATCACAAAGCTAAAAGGGTAGAAATAGCCTGGACCACTTATCTTTTTTTTTTTTTAAATCAGAAACAAGAGTCATTGATTACAATTTAAACATTATATTGTATAAAATAAATGAATGAGGAAATTAGAGCAAAGGACTTGCTCCCTCAGTGGCCCTTTAACCAAGTGTTCTGTGGTGAGCACAGATTATGGCTTGATGGTCTTTTCCTGGCCCAGCCATGTTTCTGCTGTAGGATCTAACGTGTCTGCCTCAGCCCTTCTAGTTTCTTCTATGGAGTAGGGAACACCAACCCACAGGGTGAACTGGAGGGATGGAATATGGGTGTGTGTGGGGGGGAAGGTGATTAGAGACACATAAGAACATTCACTATACACAGAAATGTATATACGACTTATATATACGGAATTGTACATAAAACTGTATGAAACACACACACATATATAAAACGAGTAACACCTATTTCTATAGATACCTATGACAGTAAACATTCAAATAATGGTAGCTGGTATTTTTATCTATGATAGTCTTAGGATGACCAAAAAACACAGAGGAGGAAGGTCTAGGGTTTAATGATGTCCAAGGTCTTATTTAAAGAGCCCATTATAGGGAAGGTGGCTCAGTGGAAGAGTGCATGCCTTGCATGCATGAAGCCCTGGGTTCGATTCCTCAGCATCACAAATGCAGGAAAAAGCCAGAAGTGGTGTTGTGGCTCTAGTGGTAGAGCGCTAGCCTTGAGCTAAAGAGCTGAGGGACAGCACCCAGCCCAGAGGTCAGGCCCCACGACTGACCAAAAAAAAAAAAAAAAGAGCCCATTATAGCTAGGCACTGGTGGCTCACGCCTGTAATCCTACCTATTCAAGGAGGCTGAGACCTGGAGGATCCTGGCAAAAAGTTGTGAGAGTCCATCTTCAACTAACTAGCAAAGTGCAAGACTGGAGGCATGGCTCAAATGGAAGCACACAAGCCATTAATAAGCCATGAGTTCAAGTCCCTATCCTGCCCAAGAAAAAGAGCAAAGTGTGTGGACACATACTACCTTTTCTGAATTTCTGGACCTGACTGATGCATGATTCAACCGAGGTAAAAGGGCGAGCAACCAGTCTGAGAGGCAGGTTCCATCTCAGCCTTGTCCCTGAGAAGAAGCTGGAGAAAAGAGCCTGGGACAGGATGATCCTTTCTATGACGCCAGGAGGAAGGAAGAAGCTATTCAAGGGTCGCTGTGTCCCATGGCCAAGGGACAGGCATCCAAAGCACGAGGCCCTTGGTACCACCGTGTTCTCCCCACTCTAGAATGGGTGGCAGAGCACGGGGCTGAACAAAGCACTTAAAGGGTCCACCAAAGCCTTATTCTTAATGTGCAGACAGGTGTTTTTATTTTATTTTTTTGTCAGTCGTGGGGCTTGAACTCTGGGCCTGGATGCTGTCCCGGAGCTCTTCAGCTCAAGGGTAGTGCTCTACCACTTGAGCCATAGCACCACTTCTAGTTTTCTGAGTGGTTTATTGGAGATAAAAGTCTCATGGACTTTTCCTGCCCAAGCTGGCTTTGAACCGTGATCCTCAGAGCTCAGCCTCCTGAGTAGCTAGGATTACAGGTGTGAGCCACTGGCGCCTGGCCCAGATAGGTGCTTTATGTCACTTGAGTGACATCTCTAGCTGCCCTCACCTAAGGTTTAGATGACTTATCTAATATAAAACTAATTGGAGCCTGACATAGAGCTTACAGTTTAAATAATGAGCACTGTTAGTGGGCCATGAGATATGCAGAGAAACAAGAGATGGTGGCACCTTTCACCTCAGAGCCTGCAAAAACCCTGCTGTTGCTCTGTAAGTCATAAACACTTAGTAAGAATGCAGGCACCAGGCAAACCTCCAGGGTCCAGGTACAAGGCTCTTGAAGCTGAGTTTCAGAACACTTGTTTAGGAAGGTATGAAAGTCAAGGGCCGGACAGGTCTTGGGTCTTAAGAGTACAATCCTTCTTTCATTGTGTGTGTGTGTGCTGATATGGCTGTGCTCTTGCAATCACCTCAGATCATGGAGAAAGTGTTTCTGAATGGACACTCAGATTCCCTGGACCCAAGACCTCCCTTGGACCCAAGACCTCTTGGAGGAATATGTATATATATATTTTTTGTTAGTTATGGAGCTTGAACTCTGGGCCTGGGTGCTATCCCTGAGCTCTTCAGCTCAAGGTGAGTGCTCTACCACTTGGGCCATAGTGCCCCTTGCAGTTTTCTGGACTTTCCTGCCTGGGCTGGCTTTGAACCATGATCTTCAGATGTCAGCCTCCTGAATAGCTACTAACTATATATATAAAAAATATATATTATATATATATATATAATATATATATGTTTTTTTAATTTTTGTCGGTCGTGGGGCTTGAACTCTGGGCCTGGGCACTATCCCTCAGCTCTTTAGCTCAAGGCAAGCACTCTACCGCTTGAGCCACAGCGCCACTTCAGGTTTTCTAGTAGTTTATTAGAGATAAGAGTCTCATGGAAGCCAGGCACTGGTGGCTCATGCCTGTAATCCTAGCTACTCAGGAGGCTGAGGTCTGAAGATTGAGGTTCAAAGCCAGCAAGTCTGGGTAAGAAAGTCTGTGAAACTCTTATCTCCAATAAACCACCAGAAAACCGGAAGTGGCGCTGTAGCTCAAGTGGTAGAGTGTTCGCCTTGAGCTGAAGAAAAGCGCTCAGGCCCAGAGTTCAAGCCCCACTACCTACAAAAAAAAAAAAAAGAGTCTCATGGACTTTCTTGCCTGGGCTGGCTTTGAACCACGATCCTCAGATCTCAGCCTCCTGAGTAGCTAGGATTACAGGCGTGAGCCACCAGCGCCCCGCATATACATATTTCGGGAGGGGGGGGGAGAATTGGGATTTGAACCCAGGGTCTCACGCTGGTCAAGCCCTCTACTGCTGAGCCAAGGCTCCAAAATACAACTTTTTCAAAATAAGCTGGAATTTTATTGCTAAAACTTACCACTTAGAGGAGAGTTGCCTGGTTCTCAATGTAACTTATGAGAACAATTTCAAAATTCAGATTGAGAAATTTAGCAACCATTATTAACTGATAACCATGTGAAAGAAGAGGAAATGTCTCTCTTCCTTGTTTAGGGACCCGCCATGTTAATGAATGTGTGTGGATTAACAGGAGCAGAAACTAAAAATTATCAGAAACATCCAAAATGTTCTGAAAAGACACTGAGTTCTGTAATTTTTTTCTCTCTTTCTAGAGCTTGAAATCAGGGACTAGGCACTGTCCCTGAACTTCTTTTGCTCAAGGCTTAAGCCATAGCGCCACTTCCAGCTTTTTCTGTGTATGTGGTACTGAGGAATCAAACCCAGGGCTAGGCAAGCACTCTACCACTAAGCCACATTCCCCTCTCTCATTTTCTTTTTCGGGTTTGTCATGGAGCTTGAACTTTTCCCTCAAGCCACAGCTCTACTTCTGGTTTTCTGGTGGTTAATTGGAGATAAGAGTCTCATGTACTTTCCTGTGTGGGCTGGCTTTGAACTCTGATCATCAGATCTCAGTCTCCTGAGTAGCTAGGATTACAGGCATGAGCCAACCAGTTCATACCTTGCAATTTTTTTTTTTTTGGTCGGTCATAGGGCTTGAACTCTGGGCCTGGGCGCTGTCCCTCAGCTCTTCAGCTCAAGGCGATCGCTCTACCACTTGAGCTACAGCGCCACTTCCGGTTTTCTGGTAGTTGATTGGAGATAGGAGTCTCACGGTTTCTCCTGCCCGGGCTGGCTTTGAACCGCGATCCTCAGATCTCAGCCTCCTGAGTAGCTAGGATTAAAGGCGTGAGCCACCAGCGCCCGGCTATACCTTGCAATTTTTAAATTAATTAATTAATTAATTAATTGGGGACGGTCGTGGGGCCTGAACTCTGGGCCTGGGCGCTGTCCCTCAGCTCTTCAACTGAATGCTAGCGCTCTACCACTTGAGCCACAGGGCCACTTCCAGCTCTTTTTCTTTTTGCTCATATGGTGCTGAGGAATCGAACCCTGGGGTTCATTCATGCAGGCAAGCACTCTCCTACTGAGCCACTTTCCCAGCCCCATGCAATTTTTAAAGACCAGTTTTACACACACACACACACACTCTCTCTCTCTCTCTCTCAACTCACAAGCTATGGACAGAATGAAAAGCATTTAGGCAGCAGATCTACAAAACAGGACATATTTCTGCTTTTTTTTTGGGGGGGTGGGGGCAAGAATCGGTTGTGGGGCTTAACTCTGGGCTTGGGTGCTGTCCTTGTGCTCTTCAGCTCAAGGCGAGCGCTCTACAACCTGAGCCACAGCACCACTTCCGGTTTTCTAGTGGTTTTTCTAGATGAGAGTCTCACGGACTTTCCTGCCTGGGCTGGCTTTGAACCGTGATCCTCAGATGTCAGCCTCCTGAGTAGGTAGGATTGCAGGCGTGAGCCACTGGCGCCTGGCATATTTCTGCTTTTGCTTGGTGAATTTGGTCTAACATAAACAGCATTAGCTGGCATGCACTTACCTCCTTGTGAGTTTTGAAGTTAATTTACTAAAAAGATTAGTGGAGCCCCGGCTTCGAGTCTGGGACAGTGGTGTGGCTTCATGGGAGAGGCTGGGCGAGGCAGGGGGGCCGTTGTATGTTGCCGTCCGCCGCTCCCTCGGCTGGCCATGGAAAGTGCTACGACTGGCGGTGCCTCTTGGGAAGCGGATGCGATCTGGGGTGGCTGCACTGCTAATACTGTGGGTGGAGGCAACTGGAGTTCTCTGATCAGGAATAGCGCTGAGAGAGCAGGAAACAAAAGGTATGTATTAACAAAGTCATGGCACATGAAAATTTGTAACTACCATATACCTTTTATACAGTGGAAAAAACCAGGAGGCAAAAGGTACGTTAAGTGGGATAGGGTTACCAAACAAAAAGGGCATGAAAAGAAGCCGAACTGTGTAAGGGTATATATGGTACATGTACATTTCCAAGGACAAGTTCAATGCAGGGAAACTGACTCAAGCTTTCCCGCTTTGCTTCCTCTCAGACTGCTTACACACAGAGAATCGTGCCAAAGGAAAGAAAGAAAGGACTGCATGTGTGACTGAAGATGCAACCAAAAAGTTTAGAAGCGCACAGATGGTATGTGTGAAACCCCACATGCTGAAAGCAACTTGGGGGGGGGGGCAATTTTTATGCCCTTAGTAGCATGGAAAGGCACAGATACAGGCAGACAACCGGGACACCATGAGACAGAATATACTTCACCAAAACCACACAGAGGAAAGACACCTTGGAGACAACTCTAACAAAGCCTTGGGCTGTAAAAATCCACAGCACAAAAATTAAGCGGCAGTGGGTACACATTAGTTTCACAAGCAATGTGTATTTTTCTTACATAGCCTTGAAGTTATCTCCTTCACTGTCTATTGGAGGTAACATCATCTTGGGGTGCCCCGAGGCTGACATGGACATCGACTTCTGATGTCTCAGCCGACAGGTGGAAGGTGTGGCACAGACTGAGGCAGGACTAGCTGCATAAGCGAACACTTCTGTCAGGCTGAGAGGGGTTTGGGTTCAGGCAGAGGCAGAAACAACAGTGTGATGGAGCAGTGACCAAAGAGCAACTTGCTGTCAAAGCACAGCTTCCTCCCCAGACCTGTGACCCATCCAAGAACAAAAAGCTCTTTAACGTTTTAGGGATTCTGGATCAAATGCCAGCCTTTTTTTTTTTTGGTGGGTCATGGGGCTTGAACTCTGGGTCTGGGCGCTGTCCCTGAGCTCTTTTGCTCAAGGCTAGCACTCTACCACTTTGAGCCACAGCTCCACTTCCAGCTTCTACTTCTCATGGTTAATTGGAAGTAAGTTTCACAGGGACTTTTCTGCCCAGGCTGGGTTTGAATCTCAATCCTAGCTAGGATTACAAGTGCAAGCTGCTGGTGCCCAGCATATACTTTTTTTTTTGGGGTCAGTTGTGGGGCTTAAACTCTGAACCTGAGTGCTGTCCCTCAACTCTTCAGCTCAAGGAAAGGAGGGCTCTACCACCTGAGCCACAGTGCTACTTCGGTTTTCTGGTGGTTAACTGGAGATAACAATCTCATTGGACTTTCTTGCCTGGGGTAGCTTTGAACAGAGATCCACAGATCTCAGCCTCTTGAGTAGCTAGGATTAGAGTGTGAGCCACCAGCACCCAGCTATACCTGCATTTTTTTTCCCTGCCCATTGTGGGGCCTGAACTCTGGCCTTGGGCCCTGTCTCTGAGCTCTTCAGCTCAAGGCTAGTGCTCTACCACTTGAGCCACAGTGCCACTTCTGGCTTTTTCTGCTTATGTGGTGCTGAGGAATCGAAACCAGGGCCTTATGCATGCAAGGCAAGCACTCTACCACTGAGCCACCTTCCCAGTTCCATATTCCTGCATTTTTAAAACAGCAATCTTTTTCTTTTCAAAAATCATATGTAGGGAGACTTCAATTCATGCTAAACAACAATTACCTTAAGAGAACATGTTTGAATGCTTGTAAGACAGATGATGTCCTTCAAGGTCTACATAAGGTCTATATTCTCTATCCTGAAGGAGATGTCTAAACACAAGTCTATCTGGTCAAACAAGTATGAGACATAGCCACACTACACTCTCAATTTGTGCTGAGAAATCACTGACATAGTTTATTCTACTTTATTTTTTCAGTCATGGGGCTCGAACTTAGGGTCTTGGCATGTCCCCGAGGCTCAACATGTCTCCTTTTTCTAGTGTCTCAAGGTCTGGCTTAGTTTTCTTGCACATGACTGGTGGCTCTAGCACTGGAGCCGTGCCTCTGGCCAGCAATTTTTGCTGGTCGATAGAAGTCAGAGACTATGAAACTTTTCTGCCTGAGCTGGCTTTGAACCATGATCCTCTAGGTTGCAGCCTCCTGAGTAGCTGGGGTACAGGTGTGAACCACTAGCACCCAGGGTTGCATCTCTTTTTTCTTTCTTTCTTTCTTTTTTTTGTGTGTGTCACGAGGCTTGAACCCAGGGCCTTTTTGCTCAAGGCTAACATTCTACAGCTTTGAGCCACAGTGCCACTCTTGGTTTTCTGGTTTATTGGAGATAAAGAATCTCAGGGACTTTCCTGCTAGACTGGCTTTAAACCATGATCCTCAGAGCTAGGATTATCGGCATGAGCCACCAGCACCCAGCTAAGCCTCATTTCTTCAACACAAGAAAACTCAGCAACTGTTCACAGAAAAATGGTGACAGTGGCTGTAGCCTGCTGTTTCACATGACATAAACAGCTCCCCTCACAATACACATGAAGGTTCATCAGGACAACAGCTCAGTTCTCATAGCCCTGGGATTCCAAGGGCAGTTCCTTTCCTTTCAGAACAGCAAGGACCAGGAATCTTCAGCAGCCTCCCCTTGCAGTTCCTCCCACCCCCCAAATGTTCTGGATGGAGTGCTGGAGTATGGAGGTGGTACTTTCTTTCCCTGGGGCTGTCCTCCCCAACAAGGCTCTACCTCCAAGCTGAGGGCCTCACCCTGCTCTTTCTTGCTCTCCTTTGCCTCCACCCCTACATCTCCAACCTAGCCACAATGCAGCCAGAACTTCCTGACACCACCCACCTCGTTGCCCCTCTGCTTATATTTTCTAAAGCTCTCATCCTGACAGTCATGCTGCTCATCCTCAGGTGATGCAGTCTGGCCCTGGCCATTCTTCCAGGTTTTACCTTCTGCTGTTCAGTCTTTGGAACTTGACCTTTTGGCCTTCCCGATCATGTGCAGTCCCTTGTTCACACATCAAACAAAACTTGATCAATGAGCTATTCTGTCTGGACAGCTGGCGTCTATTCCTTTATCTAATTTTAGCCCTGAGGTTGCATACTCATTGAACCAGTTACTTCTTTTTTTTTTTTTTTGTCGGTCGTGGGGCTTGAACTGTGGGCTTGGGCGCTGTCCCTCAGCTCTTCAGCTCAAGGCGAGCGCTCTACCACTTGAGCTACAGCACCACTTCCAGTTTTCTAGTGGTTTATTGGAGATAGGAGTCTCACAGTCTCTCCTGCCCGAGCTGGCTTTGAACCGCGATCCTCAGATCTCAGCCTCCTGAGTAGCTAGGATTACAGGCGTGAGCCACCAGCGCCCGGCCTACCAGTTACTTCTTCCTGATTTTTTAGCATGTGCTCATAAACTGCATCGTACCTGTAATCATTTTTTTGTTGCCATTGGCCTACAAACATGGCCTGGGTATCCCCAGGGTCAGCAGAAAGCCTCAAAAGGAACAGATGCTCCACACACCCTCCTGGCAGGCTCGTCAATCAATAAGCCACTGAAGGCTACTATTAAGGGATAGCACTTTGAATTGTTTGCTACTGAGACATCTAGCCCAGGTCAGAACAGAGACACATTTTCGTACAAGCTAAAAGCTTACTCAGTGACAGCAAAACTCTGTCTGGTACTGTAGTCCTGCCAGGCGCTGATGGGCTCACACCTGTAATCCCAGCTATTCAGGAGGCTGAGATCTGAGGATCATGGTTCAAAGCCTGCTTGGGCAGGAATGTCCCTGAGACTCTTACCTCCACTAAACCACTCAGAAAACTGGAAGTGGTGTTGTGACTCAAGTTGTAGAGCGCTTGCCTTGAACTGAAGAGCTGAGGGACAGTGCCTAGGCCCAGAGTTCAAGCATGTGACCACCACCACCACCACCACCACCACCACCAAAAGTACTATAGTCCGAAAGAAATCTATACATGTTTGCTTCCACCCATTCTTCTCAGAATACTACACCAGCTGGCTGCTGGTGGCTCATGCATGTAATTCTAGCTACTAAAGAGGCTGAGATGTGAGGATTGTGGTTCAAAGCCAGCTTAGACAGACAAATCCAAAAGTAGTTCTTATCTCTAACCAATAAAAAAAGCCAATAAGGGGCTGGGAAGGTGGCTCAGTGGTAGAGCACTTGCCTTGCATGCATGAGGCCCTGGGTTCGATTCCTCAGCACCACATAAGCAAAAAGAAAAAGCCAGAAGTGGCGCTGTGGCTCAACTGGTAGGGCACTAGCTTTGAGCTGAAGAGCTGAGGGACAGTGCTCAGGCCCAGAGTTCAGGCCCCACAACCGACCAAAAAAAAAAAAAAAGCCAGTAAGTGGAGCTGGTTCAAGAGGTAGAGTGCCAGCCTTGAGCAGAAAAGCCAAGTGAGGCCCCATTCAAGCCTTGTACTAGTACACACACATGCACAGCTAAATAAAGCAATTTAATTTTTAGTCTCATGCAGACATCTAAAGGCACAGGACAAGCAGGGCAGAGGCCCATGGATGTGGGTGATTCAGTGACATTATTAACTAGAAAAACTACACGACCTAAATTAGGAAAATTACTCACATTCCTTCTGAACAGTTTATTATTAACAAAAGCAACAGTTTGTTGGACACTATGTGTCAGTGTCTGCAGAGTGGTTTAAGACTCACTGCAACCTACTTTATGCTGACAGAACCAAATCATACTATGCCAACCAATGGTCATGGTAGAACCCATGGTCACTGGCATTAGTGGGCCAGTTTTAGAGACTACAGAACGTGCGTGAATGACTGCCTCAGGGACACTACAGCAGAGAGTAAGCAGGTTATCAACAGACTGGCTTCAAAACCAGGCTCTCAGAGCTCACGTATACATAACAGAAGATCCTGCTGAAACCACATTTTCCTCTAAACCCAAGATCGTTATTCTTCACACAGAAGAGTCGATAAAACAGAAGACTAAGCCTGGCACCAGTGGCTCAAGCCTGTAATCCTAGATAT